ATGAGAGTATATCTCTCCACAATTGCTTAAAGGACCACTCTAGGCACCCAGACCACTTCAGCTTAATGAAATGGTATGGGTGCCTGGTCCAGCTAGGGTTAACCCATTTTTTCATAAACATAGCAGTTTCAGAGAAACTGCTATGTTTATGAATGGGTTAAGCCTTCCCCCTAATCCTCTAGTGGCTGTCTCATTGACAGCCACTAGAGGCGCTTGTGTGCTTCTCACTGTGATTTTCACAGTGAGAGCACGCAAGCATCCATAGGAAGTTTAACCCATTTTCCCTTTTCCAGAGCCGGGCGGGAGGGGGTCCCTGAGGGTGGGGGCACCCTCAGGGCACTATAGTGGTCCTTTAATATTAAGTTAGCTCTATCGGTGACATTGGCATGGACTGAAGGATATTAGATCCTCAAGCACTATTTTGCATAGTATGTAGCGTCCATAATAAAACTTTCTCCTCCTGTCCTAGATAGATGCCTTAGGATCTATTTTTATAGATCCGCTTTCTGGATTTCTTCTGTTTATCTTTAATAATAGACCATAAAGATCTTCAAGCCTCTATATAAGCCATCAACAGATGGATAGTCTTGGCTGTTTTTAGGCTACTAAGTCCTAGGGGTTACAGTACTTAAAGCTATGTTTGCTCTCTAGAGCCATTTCTCCCTCTTGAGCATCGGTGGCCAAGTTTCCCTGGAACTTGTAAGTAAACGGCTGCTTGGTCCTCAATCTAACATTGGGTACATTTGAGTTGGTCAATTTGCCAAGTTGTTAATGTGCCATCTCTGAGCAATCAGTTTTTCATTTCCAATGTCCTTATGAGGTGTGTGTTGTCAATTTACATTTATATTTTGGAAGTATTGTGTACTTCTTTACCTCCCTTGGTTATTGCGTGGGTATTACTCATTGTTGTGCTGCCATGGATATGGCCAGGAAAAAGGAAAATGTATTCCTACTTACCGTAATTTTCTTTTCCTGGTCGTAGGCCAGGCAGCACAAAGATCCCGCCCTGGGATTTTGCTGGAAACAAGACTGAGGGTGGGAGGGGTAGGAGGGGTTAATTATACCTTCTATTTTAATTAGGTTCCTGTCTGGTTAGGGATAGGGAGGAGCTACCCATTGTTGTGCTGCTATGGCCTATGACCAGGAAAAGAAAATTACGGTAAGTAGGAATAAATTTTCCTTTTTCGTCTAAACAAGCCAAATTATTTTTACAATATGCATGGGATTCGGTGGATATAAATAATATTAAATAAAAAGAACATGCGTTATACAGTAGTGGACATCTAATATTGCACTCACAAGAAACAGGAGTAATATGCTCTTTGATGGTACTGCCCCCGGGTGTGTTTGGGGGGGGGGGGTAGTGTCTCCCTCTCGGGATCAGGTGTCACCCAGTATCAGGAACCGTGCAGGACTCAGACAGGTAGGTTAAAAAGGGATTTATTGGCAGAATAAAAAATACAATTAAAAAGAGAGAAATGGTCTTGCGCGTTTCGTCCCACTTCTGGGACTTCCTCAGAGACCAATATTTTGTAAAAGCAAACAATAATGCTCACAAAAAAAGCAGCCTAATTCCACCCTCCCATCAGTCACATTAAATAGGGCTAGTCCATTGGTGGTTACAGTTGGGGGGGGGGGTTTCCATTCCATTCACATCATTGGTGGTGTTCAATTCCTTTTCACATGTTTCTTGATAAGGGCTAGTTCACTTTGTTGTCAGAGCTGATCGGAATATCGAGATCGTCTATGATGTATATGACGCACTTCCATGCGTTCCAATGTGGTTTCAGGAAATGGATTGGTCGTTCTCCCCCTGGTGTTCTCCAAGGGAATCATATTAAGCAGCTAAAAAAACTAGCAACTGATTTACTAGAAAACAGCATCTAAATAGGCATCATTAGATCATTTTATCAAACTTCTTGGTTCAATAGAACAGATGAAATATATACTCTAAAAAAATATATATTTAGTATTGCGGTGTATATACTTCATGTATAGTTTGTATAGAACTCCCATCCAGAATGTCTAGAGATATTCAGTATTCTGATGTGGGACTAGCATGAATGCTTCTATAGTGTTACCAGTATAAGTAGGAGAGATGTGGATCGATCTTCCCGCTCTCTGTGCTGGGTATGGAAAGAACAATAAGTGCTGATCGTACACCATGAGATGGAGAATTTCCTGTATGACTTGATTAGTAGGACATGGATCAGCACCTTTTGTGATTGCCACTCTCGTGTCTCTCTCTTTCACAGCATGCGGCTGGCAAAGCTTAGTAACAATCTAACACACTGGAAGAAGGTGCCCCCACTGCCCTCGCTTACAGCTCAACCTCACCAAATACTCGCCAGTGACCCCGTTCCATATGCAGATATACAACAGGTAATTCAAATAGTGGTGGATTTATACAGCTTAAAACAGTGAATCTACTCTGTGAGGTCTTCTGGTAACCTTCAGAGAGGTGTCTCAAAATGATGTGATGCTAACATTGTTTTAAAACACTTCAAATATTATTCTTACCAATTGAAATAATAGGTCGTAATGCAGCCATACGATGCATGGGACATATTTTCACTGTTCCAGGCGATTACTCATTGCGGTATCAAACACCTACAGAAAGAGCCTTTTATAGCTGCAATGACCTCGGAATAAAAGCTGGTGCAAACCGTGTCCTTCTGACAGTGCACACATTGTTGATAAATTACGTTTTTATTTCTTTATACACTTTGTCTATTGCTGCGCTTTTTGTATTCTAGGCATTTTCTACCAGCTATATAATCTTTTATATCCTCAACATAGAAACAACTGTGTTCACTGCTAGTTCTATTGTAAAAATGTTTCCTGCTGGGAGCCCATTTCTGTTTCAGCCGGCTGAGTGTAATGGGAATGGTAGGTCCCAAGGTTCTGACTTGGATCAGTTGTATGATCACATTATTACTACTTGATGTGACTGTCCTTTTTTAGGTTTCTAAGATAGCTGCTTATGCCTTCAGTGCACTTTCACAGATTCGAGTAGATGCAAAAGAGGATCTTGTCGTACAGTTCGGGATTCCGTAACTCCAATGCACATCAATCCTCTCTGTAACTTCCTCTCACATAGTGCTCCCTTTTACTTTATGTAGATTTGTTTTCTCTTCGTTTAGTTAAACTTTGTCCTGGTTGCCATCTTTTCCACAGCTCACTTTCTCCAGAGACTCTCACAGTTTAACTCCTTTACCCCTTTCCCTTCTTTGACTATTGCACTGATCATTCATGTTCTAGCTATTCTTTAACCCTGAACATTAATTTCTGCGTCATTTAATCGGGCCTGCCTCTGATTATGTGCAGCGTAATCTTTGCCATGAGCAAACTGTTACTGTCTGTGTGGCAGAGACTTGTCTATGAAGGAAATAAGATAAAATAAGGTTTACTAGAAATCGACTTAAGGGGGGCTGTAGCAATGTTCACAAACCGTGATAATGGAATTTTAGTAAAGGTCTGTATAAAAAATTTGTATATTTCATACCCCATCCTCGAAGAGAGAGGTTTGTAATCCAGTGCAATGAGTAGCACAAACAGTAACCCTACAACTGCACCTTCCTATACAGGATCCATTTAATCTTCTGCGACCCCCGCATGTATCAGACACTGGATGGGTTGTGGTCTTATACCAGCTGTTTACAGTGTGCTTGGGCTCAGCCTTTCAAACCACCTATTAACTTTTGCTGTGGATACTTCTATGTGAAAATTGTACCACAACCTCTAAAGTGCCTCTGGAGTATGTACAATGTACTAACAAAGGTGTTGAGAAAGTCGTAGAACATGTCTGAATTTTACAATTAAACCCACTTGTGTACAAAGTTCTATCAGTGAATTGAATCAGTTTATAAATATCATGGTAACTGTGGCTAATCAATTAGTTTCTTAATCTTTTTTGGAAATTTACATTTTCACCCTTTGTTTTACTTATTTTTTTTATTTACCGACACTGTAAATTAAACTTATTCCTCAATAAGGTGCTGTCCTGTGTTTGTAGTGTGTGAATTATTTTATCATGTACGTGGTTTCGCTTGTTCATCTTCAGTAGATGCCAAGAACCTTTAATTGTCTGCATCTCACTTTGACTTGAGGGCTGCTCTGATCCTTCTGTCCTATCACACTTTCCTGTCCTTATATCCTGGCTTCTTTAGAAATCTTATACTAGCTTCTCTCTCCTGCAGTAGTGTACCTTAGCCATACCTCAAAACATGTTCTCTATGAAATGTGACTTTGTAACATAAAGAGCCAGACTGCAAGAGAAAAGCCAACTAGCTTCTATTTCAGACCCTTAAATATGATACAGGTTGAACTGTGAGTTTTTTTTTTTTTTGTGCTTTATTTGTAAAATCTTTGGATCCTCCGAAACCTAAAGATTAATATAGATCGGTGAGCCTGGCTCCAGGAGTCAGCAGCTGTCCCCCATTGAAGTTTGGCAGGTCATGTAATGAGTGGGCCTTCCCTGCATTTCACATTAAACACCAAGACTACTACAACTTATTTTATATACTCATTATGCTCCGGTCTGTGGCCATTATTCTTTAGCTCCTACACTTAACCTTAAAACAATGACAGAAAACTAAGCTATGACTTAAAAAAAAATCTGAAATCCATCGCCACAACCTTATGATAGGAACTGTTTTTTATTAAACCATTTTATTGTTTGAGAGTGCATGCGCACGCTATGAGCTAGGAGGAAGGGAGAACATTAAGTGTATAAGAAGGGGCAGGTCCGCAGAAGCTTATTACATCTCTTGCCCACTCGCTGACAGGCATAATGATCCAGTATAATGGGTGGCTACACTCCCAGCAGGCGTGACTTACAAGTACAGAAGGCATTCCCCTCCAATATTGCAGTATGTGTGTGAGCTTGGTTAATTGTACAGCGCTACGGAATCTGATGGTGCTATTTAAATAATAAAATAATTGGCTGAGAGCTGTTTTAGCCAGGGATGGCCTTGTACTGCAAGGCGTAGCTCAGTAGATGTTAAGGAAGTTCCTAACAAGAGCTTCCAGCTCTCAGTATGGAGATAAGGGTAGACAGGTATGGTCATCCAGCTGGCCAAAGGTAAGTGTCCCTTTAATGACAGTTTTTGCTTTAATATCTGCATAGCTGGAATAGAAACAATTAATTTGCAGAATGCTTTCATTTTGGCTAGGGGAGTCCAGTCCTCAATGCACAAATATAATCCAGCTTGTGTCAATGCCTACACTGGAAGTGAGTTGGGAAATGGTTAGATCCTGGGCGATATTGCTGTCGTTCAAAGATTTGTGAGTGAATGGAGCAGTTTACAAGTGAAGTAATTTTTCCTATTTCGCCAATGTTGGCCAGATTAGATAACACACAGGAAGGATTGATAAGGGGATGCCATTCACGCGGTATATTGTGGTTTTGGCTCACTGAATGTATTTTTAATACACATTTTAGGCAGTGCTTCCAAAATCTATGGTATTAACAGCTGTAACCTGAAAAGGCTGAATTAACTATTAGCCGCTATACAGGTAGTGCACCATTACCTGTATCCCAGCCTTTCACCATGTATAGTGAGATAGAGCTGCGTCATAAGCCGCTATACAGGTAGTTCACCATTACCTGTATCCCAGCCTTTCACCATGTATAGTGAGATAGAGCTGCGTCATAAGCCGCTATACAGGTAGTTCACCATTACCTGTATCGCAGCCTTTCACCATGTATAGTGAGAGAGAGCCGTGTCATTAGCTGCTATACAGGTAGTTCACCATTACCTGTATCACAGCCTTTCACCATGTATAGTGAGAGAGAGCCGTGTCATTAGCTGCTATACAGGTAGTTCACCATTACCTGTATCACAGCCTTTCACCATGTATAGTGAGAGAGAGCTGTGTCATTAGCTGCTATACAGGTAGTGCACCATTACCTGTATCACAGCCTTTCACCATGTATAGTGAGAGAGAGCCGTGTCATTAGCTGCTATAAAGTGCACCATTACCTGTATCACAGCCTTTCACCATGTATAGTGAGACAGAGCCGCGTCATTAGCCGCTATACAGGTAGTGCACCATTACCTGTATCACAGCCTTTCACCATGTATAGTGAGACAGAGCCGCGTCATTAGCCGCTATACAGGTAGTGCACCATTACCTGTATCACCGCCTTTCACCATGTATAGTGAGAGAGAGTGGTGTCATTAGCCGCTATACAGATAGTGCACCATTACCTGTATCACAGCCTTTTGACTATGTAGAGTGGTGTCATTAGCTGCTATACAAGTTTTACAGCCTTTCACCATGTATAGTGAGATACAGCCGTATACAGATAGTGCACCATTAGCCGCTATACAGATAGTGCATCATTACCTGTATCACAGCCTTTCACCATGTATAGTGAGCTATAATATATTGCTCCACATCCAGCGGTGTCATTGGCTCACTAACATTAAAGCTGTTCCCAGAGAGTAATTCTTAGCCGAGACACTCAGCAGGCTCTAGTAATAATGATCTGGGAGTTACATGTTAATCAAAGTTTACAAATATACATTAAAAATCCATGTTACAATTCATTCTGCAACACAAACTACATAATATGAAAACGAAAAATATAAACGTTAATGTATCCAGGGCCAGCCTTAAGGGTGTGCGGCTGCACAGGGCGTCATGGAGCAGGGGGCGCCATGTGGCCAACACAGCTCACACATGGCCGACCGCGATTGAAAAAAAAAAAATGCGGCAGGTGTTGAGCTTCCCTGCGGCAGAGGTGGAGCTAAACTGACGGCAGGGGCAGATCTAAAAGTGCCGGATTACTGCTGCAGGGGAAGCAGGCAGGTGTCCCTGCTTCCCCAACAAACAGTCTCCAGGAGCTGCACTGCCTCCATAATGAACAGAGGTAACTATGTGTGATTGTCAGTGTGACTGTCTGCCTGTGTGTGTGTGTATGACTGCCTGTGTGTGTGACTGTCTGTGTATGAGTGTTTGTGTCTGTGTGTCTGCCTGTGTGTGTATGGCTGTATGGCTGTCTGCCTGTGTGTGTATGTGTGTGTGGCTGTCTGTATGTAAGTATGTGTTTGTAAGACTATGTGTGGCTGTCTGCCTGTAATTGTGTGTGAGTGTGTTTACCTGTAACTGTGCATGTGTGTTACTGCCTGATCCTGTGTATGTGACTACCTGCCTGCGACTATGTGCATGTGGTGGATTTGACAGTGTATATGTATAACTGTGTGCATCTGACTGTGGGACTGTCACACACAGGCCTAAATACATGTTTTTATCTGAATTAAATAACCATCACACACAGGCAATAAACCCAGCACAAATATCACATACAACCAATACACACATATCACACACTGTTAATACACCCATTACAAATATCACACACAGCCAACACACCTATCACATACAAGACGACACAAACATTACATCATACATGGATGGGGAGGGGGCGCTGTGAAGATTTTTCACAGGGCGCCTAAAGGCCTAAGGCCGGCTCTGAATGTATCCACACTATCCATTACGTATTAATCTATATTGTGTGGTGTTTGAAGTATAGAAAGTTGGTTTCCCATTAATATATGTAAACTTAATTTCACCCCTTCTATGATATGTCACCTAGCCATAACCGGCATAGTACAATTTCTGTAAGCATCCATGTGTTGTTATCATTCAGTCTACAAGACTCCATTATATATATATATATTTCTGTTACTGCTAGTGATCCTATTAAAAATCACATATACACCACCCGACCAAATTACACCGCATGCAACAAACACCCACCGACGACTGCTAACATTCTGGCGAAGATACAAAAATTGATAAAAAGAGTTTTCCACAGACCTCAACCGATGGACGTACCTATTAAATAGACCCTTTGACAACTGGATTTGGTGGGAACAAAAGTTGATCCACAAAATTACACTAGCTGTGAGGAGAACGGTAGCACAGACTTGGCTACATACGGAAATGTACATACAGAGAGTGATCTCCAATATTAAGGAGGAACACCTGATGGATAGACTGACAGCCCGCCTAAGAGGGTCCACATCCAAGTTCGACAAAATATGGGAACCATGGCACAAGAGTACCCTATCAGACATTTGACACCCACCCCTCCCCTTTAGAAAGGACATAGCTCTACATCTAAACATACTGTACAGCATAACCCTCCCCCCCCCACACTTCCTTCTTCTTTCTCCCTCCTCTCTCATCTATACTCTCTCTCTTCTACACTTATCCTTCCCCCACGTATGAACACAAAGTCGGGAGGGGGTCCAGACATTAGTCTGTACACCAAAACGACCAAAGCAGGCCTTGGCTGGTCCGGGGCCAGTTCCAGGAGGGATAGGTACGGGGACTCTTACCCCGACTAACTTCTAAAAATACCCCACACAATACGTAAGCTTACTAGAAAATCCAGATGAACGTAAGTGACATACCGAAATAATAGCAGTTCCGACTGTACTTAGTAGACCAACGCAAAACGTTTCACAGTTACCTGACAGCTTTTAACGAACAAGGCTACAGAGGACAGGAAACACACAGGGTATAACTACAATAGTTGGGACGTGTATGTCATATAGATACAAAATATGATATGTTACACATAAGTTTAAGCACGATGATAACCACAAAGTTAATGTTATTGTTGTTACAAGAAGTAAAAAAAAACCCACCAGGGCAGAATGTTGGAGGTGGCTCCTCGGTGATTATCTCTTACCGAAAAAGGCATGGGTGGGATCACTCATAGCCGTAAACCTGCTGTTCAAGTGGAAATGAATATTGTCCACAATCGTACGTTAAACTCTGCCTATGTATGAAACACACTTGTTATGGACTGCATGTAATGTCTCAGATTGTCTTGGAATAAATAAAGAATAAAAAAAAAAAAAAAAATTCACATGTAAATGTAGCATGTACTGAAAAGTTAAATATATATTATTTTATAAAGCTAAACACAAATTTGGCTTTTATTTTTATGCGTGGTGCAGCGGGCTGATATTCCTGGTAGTAGGCACAGTCTGAGTGCGTTAATTTATTTTACATCATTAATACAGTGCTGTCTACATGTCACTATGACAGTCCCAAGCACCAATGGAACGACTGTGAACTGAGTGAAAATCAGGCAACTCAGCGCCAGAGATTTCTAAAGTAAATATATTTGTTTTGGGATTTTATTTAATGCTATGAAAGACAGACAGCTATTCCCAGGCGGCTTTGCCACCGTTAAAGAAATTGCTTGTCATCTGTGTATCTATATTATATGTAGAGTGAGAGTATGAGTCTGTGTTATATAGAGGGACAGTATGAGGCTGCGTTATATAGAGGGACAGTATGAGACTGCGTTATATACAGGGACAGTATGAGGCTGCGTTATATAGAGGGACAGCATGAGACTGCGTTATATAGAGGGACAGCATGAGACTGCGTTATATAAAGGGACAGTATGAGGCTGCGTTATATAAAGGGACAGTATGAGGCTGCGTTATATAGCGGGACCGTATGGGGGTTTAGAATTATTTAGGATATGAATATATAGAGATGCGTTATAAACAGTATTTGCTCTTAGTAATATTGTTTGAGATCCATTCTGGGTGTAGACATTTGCCACTAATTTTCCATTATGTTTCTTTTTTAATTTTTTATTTAAGGGATAGGATACCGAAGACGTGACGGTATAGATCTTACACACAGCCCCGTTCAATGTCTCAATACTATTTCAATAAGATAAATGGCAACGAGAAAATTAGCAAATACAGAAAACCAAAGATAACACGATTATTCACCATAATGCAAGGTGAAGATATCCGAAGGTCAGATATTCTCCCAGTTTGGGAACTCTCACTTAAATGAATATTTTGTAAGAAACAAACAAGGCGCCAGGAACACTCTGTGCTTATAATCCATTCCGAGTTTATCGTAAACCAAATGGTCAGTGCATAGTGGGACATGCAACCTGATGGTATCATTTCTATTCCATTTTGAAGAGAAAAAATCACCTAAAAATGATTTTTCTAAATTCCTTATAAAAGACAATTTGCATTTATATAGCACCGACATATTGTGCAGCACTTTACAGTTATAGGAAGGGGATAATATAGGGAGGGGATGTGAAGAAGGCCGTGTTCAAACAAGCTTACAATCTATGAGGCTACGAGGTAGCCGGATATATATTGCTAGGTGTCTGGCCCAGCCAGCTGATATTTACACATGTATTACTACAAGAATAAGATCCTGGCTGCTACTTGTGTCCCCTTAGAGTCAGGTTGAGTTATCGGCTTTCTTAGCAGTGAAATAAACTAGGATTTGTTTTACCTGAAGTGCTCCCAGCACACTAACCAGTGAATGTGATGATAACACAATGTGTATTCTGTACATGATATATTATGATAGCTGAAAAGAGACGTTTAGTCATGACTGAGGCACTTTACTTACACTACCTGATATGTATTCGATAAAAGGAGTCAATCACTGGATCGCTGTTTGTCTAATAAATCCTACACAGAACATGTCTATTTATTGGCAAAAATGACACCTCCATAGCTGTGGTGTTGAGTGATGTCTATTCCTCCTTTATTCTCTTTACTCGCTTTTGTTTTCCATTTGTTCGCCTCCACACGTCCGCCATGACACGGTCTTGTTTTGTGACGCCGCTAAAATCTAGGGATTTGAGCTGCGGCAGAACAGACAGGATGTACGATCTGGTGGTAAAATGAGCATGTACATGGAAACAGATTATTACTTTCTGATTAATCAATCATTATCGTTTAACTCACGAGACATACATTAAATATACTAACGCCTTCATTGAAGAGAGTGCTGGAAAGGAAGAATACAACATTTGTCAGAGAAAAATGTGAATATCATCAACAGAACAAGAATACAAACAGAACCAGAACCAAATAGAGAAAACAGGAAAGAAAAAATGAGACATTAAAAAGTGGAACTATACAATTATTATATTTATAAAGGTGCCAAGTTCCGTAGCGCTGTACAATGGGTGGACTAACAAACACGTAATTGTAACCAGACGAGTTGGATGCAAAGGAATATAAGGATTGAGGGCCTGCTCAGTGAGTTTACATGTTAGAGGGAGTGGGGTATAGTGACACAGTAACAGAGGGATTGGGGGCCTGCTCAGTGAGCTTACATGATAGAGGGAGTGGGGTATAGTGACACAGTAACAGAGGGATTGAGGGTCCTGCTCAGTGAGTTTACATGTTAGAGGGAGTGGGGTATAGTGACACAGTAACAGAGGGATTGAGGGCCCTGCTCAGTGAGTTTACATGTTAGAGGGAGTGGGGTATAGTGACACAGTAACAGAGGGATTGAGGGCCTGCTCAGTGAGTTTACATGTTAGAGGGAGTGGGGTATAGTGACACAGTAACAGAGGGATTGAGGGCCCTGCTCAGTGAGTTACATGTTAGAGGGAGTGGGGTATAGTGACACAGTAACAGAGGGATTGAGGGCCCTGCTCAGTGAGTTTACATGTTAGAGGGAGTGGGGTATAGTGACACAGTAACAGAGGGATTGAGGGCCCTGCTCAGTGAGTTACATGTTAGAGGGAGTGGGGTATAGTGACACAGTAACAGAGGGATTGAGGGCCCTGCTCAGTGAGTTTACATGTTAGAGGGAGTGGGGTATAGTGACACAGTAACAGAGGGATTGAGGGCCTGCTCAGTGAGTTTACATGTTAGAGGGAGTGGGGTATAGTGACACAGTAACAGAGGGATTGAGGGCCTGCTCAGTGAGTTTACATGTTAGAGGGAGTGGGGTATAGTGACACAGTAACAGAGGGATTGAGGGCCTGCTCAGTGAGTTTACATGTTAGAGGGAGTGGGGTATAGTGACACAGTAACAGAGGGATTGAGGGCCTGCTCAGTGAGTTTACATGTTAGAGGGAGTGGGGTATAGTGACACAGTAACAGAGGGATTGAGGGCCCTGCTCAGTGAGTTTACATGTTAGAGGGAGTGGGGTATAGTGACACAGTAACAGAGGGATTAAGGGCCTTGCTCAGTGAGTTTACATGTTAGAGGGAGTGGGGTATAGTGACACAGTAACAGAGGGATTGAGGGCCCTGCTCAGTGAGTTTACATGCTAGAGGGAGTGGGGTATAGTGACACAGTAACAGAGGGATTGAGGGCCCTGCTCAGTGAGTTTACATGTTAGAGGGAGCGGGGTATAGTGACAGTAACAGAGGGATTGAGGACCTGCTCAGTGAGTTTACATGTTAGAGGGAGCGGGGTATAGTGACAGTAACAGAGGGATTGAGGGATTGTGTTTTTTATAGGGCAGGGCAGCTGTAACAAACACCTCCAATCTCATCTCATTGATTGGACTCCAGCTGACTGACATCTCACTCCAATTAGCACTTGGAGATGTCATTAGTCTAGGGGTTCACATACTTTTTCCACCTGCACTGTGAATGTTTACATAGTGTGTTCAATAAAAACATGGCAACATTTCATTCTTTGTGTGTTATTAGTTTAGGCAGACTGTGATTGTCTATTGTTGTGACTTATATGATGATCAGATAACATTTTATGACCAATTTGTGCAGAAATCCATTTCATTCCAAAGGGTTCACATACTTTTTCTTGCAACTGTATGTATGAATGTCCAATTATTTATAACAAAATCAGTTCTGATCAGTTCTGATAAACTAAAGTACAAACGTATTATTCTAAATATGAAATCTTCATCTGGTTGTAAATATTACAATTATAACAACCAGCAAGAATGAGTCTTTACATTATGATTTAAATCAACTTGAGTTACATCATATTTATCCTGGGTGACACACTAACTAAAACAACAACATTTACAAACGAATACATTAGCGAATAGTCTGACGAGAGCTCAGGTACGTTTGATGAACTGAGGGCTAAGTTGCTGAATTAATGACTTGCTCTGGCTACAAAGTGGAGTTGGTTAAAGTATACTCATTTATTGCAGGGAACTTGTGGATTCAATTCAGGATTTTAGGAGAATACTAGGGCTTCCGTGGCGGCAATCTCAAGTCGTAGGCTGCTAGCCGGCCTAAACTTTACTTCTCACTTCAAGTCTGGAGGTGGGATTTTCACTTTCTAACGGATAGAGGAAACCTTGAGCCCTGTTACAAGCCTCATTTGTAGGGTGTATTCTGCCATAAGAACAGAGAAATATGCAGACCGTCTCAATTATATGAATGAAACTTACTGCATTGACTGGAAAAAATATATCTATGTATAGCGCGATGTTCCAAGTATAGAACCTGGCTATTAGAAATATTATGGTCAGAGACCCTAATTAAACAAAGTATATACAAATGAACCTACAATCCTATGCCAGCCCAGGGTAGTATAGATCAAGAGGTAGTAAAAAAGATAACCTCACTCCCCCTTATAATTAAGCTTTATTGTGATCTGCTATAGGGATAGGAGTATACAGTAGCTAAGTCTCTATAATCCATGCATCCTAGGAAGTATCCTGGTCACACTAGAAACATATTAAGAAAAACAGAGAGAGATAAGGACTGAAAATAGAAGTAAAAAAATCAGTCAAAAACAGACTGATAATTAGCATTAATAAAGCCTCTCTCCCTGTAAAGCTAGCTAGATAGGCATAGGAAAGAAAAGAAGAAAACGATATAAAATAAAGTTAAATTAGATGGTGATCATGGTGCTCCAAACACCAGTGCCCAGTGCAGAAAAAACGCCCAACGTACGTTTCGGTGCAGAGAGATGCACCTTCGTCAGGGGCCAACAGATAACTGAAGAGAAGCCTCTTAAATACCCCAATTGCCAGGAAGCATGATTACCTTGTAGCCAATGGAGTGTGGGGGTGTATACCTCCCCAGCTGCCTCTAATATCCTGGCTATTCCTCTGTGATTGCTAATGCTCATTCATCTGTATGAAGGGGAAATCCCTCAGCCGGTCACGTGACCTGTGATGTCATGCGTCATGTGACGTATCTGGCATTCTCCTAATGGGGCGTGTCTCATTCATCATAGTGCTGCAGTACCGCCCATCCGAGCCTCTCCTGTCCATCATCCTCACATGGGTTGATCCCCTGTGACAGATGGGCGGAGCTAGGTATTCTCTGTGTATGGAGAAACCGAAATTGTCCAAATTAAGGCTCAAATTGATAAGCTGCATATTGATAATGTATCATTCCAAAGTACCAATGTGTACTATATAGGATGTACAGAGTCAGCTGAAAATATAAGGCAGTGCTGATTACATATTATTCTAATACTGAATCTATTAAAGATGTAGTAAAGAATATGAGAGGACACCCCAATAATAAGAGAAAAATTGAATGATAAGGGGTCCTGGGATGTTGTTAACTCCCACTCCCCCATCCCAGGCAAGGATATAAGATAATAAATATATTTAGTGTTCATAGGACCCATGCTAGGATGCAAACTTAACATGGTACATCCTGCCGCTATATCCTGTACACTGAGTCACTTGACAATATGGCCCTCTGAATGACCAGATATGACTTAGTCCTTAAAATAAAAATAATAATAATAAGGCTAGCATTCTTTTTGTCAAGAGGTCTTTAAACTTATGGCACCTGAGGTTCCTAGTTGGTCTCCCATACAAGTACTAACCAGGCCCAAGTCTGGATGGCTTCTGAGATCTGACGAGATCAGGCATTTTCAGACTGGTATGGCCATTGATATTTTCATTCAAGTGCTCAGCAAGCTTGGTCTAGGAACATTATTGGTATTATAATCATTATATAGCTATTTCCTTGGGAAAATTCAAGCATTAGCAATTTAGTGGTCCTCATCCGGTAATCATGAGAATAAATTTATATGATAAAAAATAATATAAAAAATAATAATAAATAGAAAAGAATAGTGATAATAGTAGTAATAGTAATAAGCAAAGAATATATCCATTGTGGAACAAACCGCGCTATATTTACAAATTTACAAGTGTATCAGGCCATAAGGCTCACTCAGAATAGATTAGTGCAGAGATCACCCGCCGAGTACCACTGCCCGTATATAGGTCTGAGTCCCACACCTGGTATCAGTGATCTGCAATAAATGGTGTATATGAGAAACCTTCGTTAAGTCCCAAGGGTGACAGGGTTTTGAGCTTATAGATCCAGAAGCTCTCCCTTTGGAGTAGCTTCTTGTCTAAATCCCCCCCTCTTGGTCCCAAGGTAACCCTTTCAATACCACTAAATCTGATTCCTTCAGATGAGCCCCCATGATGTAGTTTCAAATGTTTAGAGATAGGGGTGTCGATTTGTCTTGTGGGGTTTACCGAATTGACATGTTCCCGTATCCTAAGTTTAAACATCCTAAAGGTTTTTCCCACATACAGTTTTTTGCACGAACAGGAAAGTAAGTAGATAAGCCCTTTGGACTGACAGTTAAAGAAATTCTTTACTTTGAATTCCTGTGTGCCAAGGGAGTCTGGGAATGTTTTGGAGGGTCTAAGTATAAACCTACATGCCTTGCATTTCCCACATTGATAGGTCCCTAAGACTGGGGACTTCAGCCATGATGTTTTCTGGGGTGTAGTCTTGAGATGGCTAGGGACCAACATGTCCTTGATGTTGCGTCCCCTTCTTGCTGTTACTGAAGCCTTATGTGTGATTACCTTCCGTAAGTGTGGGTCTTGTTGTAGAAGGGGCCAGAATCTGTCCAAGATTTGCATCATTTGATGCCAGCCGGCATCAAAATTCCCTATACATCTTATGACTGCCTGTGATGGCTCTGGGTTATGTTCGATTAGAAGGTCTTTCCGATCTGACAGTAAGGCCCGTTTATAAGCGTGCTTTAAGCATCTATTCGGGTACCCCTTTTGTTTGAATTGGAGTTGTAAGGTCTTAGCCTTTAGTTTAAAATCATCCAATGTAGAGCAATTGCGTCTAAGGCGCAAGTATTGTCCAGTTGGAATCCCTTTCTTTAGGGAAGGGGGATGATGGCTAGACCAATTCAGCAAGTTATTAGTTGCCGTTGGTTTACGGAACAGAGTTGAAATGAGGCACCCTTCTTCTGTCAGCGAGATGGTGAGGTCCAGAAAATTAATTCTATTGCCACCAATTTCACTAGTCAGTTTGAGATTAATATTGTTGGAGTTGAGAGTGTGGACTTTGGGGTTAAGCCCCTCTGAGACAGCTGGAGTCTCATACTGGTACGTTGGTCTCTGCGTGACCCCTGCAGCCACTGCCCCCCTTTTGGGGAGGTTTTGAGGTGGTGGGTGCGGCGGCTATACAGGGACTTGGAACGTTGTGTTCCTTGTTCTCTTTTTTGTATTCTGCCATAAACCGAGATTAATGACAAACTCTAAGAATGGGACCTGACTGAGCACCGTCTTACTGTTCCCCACATTTTTTTTTCTACACTGTGTGTGGATTATGGCAGTTACCGTATTCAAAACGTCCGAAAAACTGTCTGAATAGCTTCACCCCTCTCAGGCATCCTGAAAATTGTTCTGTTTATCGAGCGTCTTTGTTCTTTTAGGGTTATTTATAAAAGTGTGAATTTAAAGAGACTTTAATGTTTAAGGCCAGAGTAGCGGAACTGAAAGCACAGCTGGCTTAGAGAATTCTTCCAGTTCGGCTATTTTGACCTTAAAGGAGCACTATAGTCAACATATAAAAGCAAGAAAGACCGTTCCCCTAGCCTTCTTTCTTGCTTTTATATTAGTTTCCCTCTAATAATAAATAATTTAGAGTGCTTTTAATCGTGTAAACTTACCTCTGTTCCAGCGTAGAGATCCTCAGCAGGCCACTTCCCCCTTATAGTCAAAATGACGAAGTAGCAGGGCTCAGACGATTCTCTTAGAGAAGCATCATCGGTATGTGGTGCACATGCGCGGCTTCGCGCTGCACCAATCGCATTGTTCTTCATAGAGAAATCAATGCCTCTCTATGAATGAACTCTGAGCGCTGTACTGCATATGTGCACAGTATGCGTGTTCATGAGCTCAGCTCGCTGTCTATGCCTGCCCCCCTCCTATGGCAACACTCCTCAGCCCAAAGTTTGTGTGTTTGTATAGAAACACTATATATAGTGATATCTCTATATATAGTGTTGATATACAAACACACACATTGTAAATATTGTAAACATACACACACTCTTTCTATCTATACATCTATATATATCCCTCTCTATTTCTATCCACCCATCTATCCCTCTCTATCCATCCATCCATCTCTATCCAGGGATGGATGGATGGATAGAGAGGGATGGATGGATGGATTGATTGATGGATAGAGATGAATATATGGAAAGACAGGGATGGATAGAGATGGATGGATGGATAGATGGATAGAGAGGGGTGGATGGATAGATATGGATATCCATAGATAGAGAGGAATGGATAGATGGATGGATGGATATCCATAGATAGAGAGGAATGGATAGATGGATGGATGGATATCCATAGATAGAGATGGATGGATGGATAGGGAGGGATGGATGGATGGATGGATAGAGCGGGAGGGTTGGTTGGATGGATGGATAGAGATGATATCCATAGATAGGGAGGGATGGATGGATAGATAGACAGAGATGGATGGATAGAGAAAGATGGATAGATAGAGATGGATGGATAAATATATGCATAGAGAGGGATGGATAGAGTGGGATGGATGGGTCACTCTCTCACTCACACTCTCTCACTCACCAACTCTTTTTTTTTTTTTTATAATTCTTTATTTTATCAATAACAGATATAATTGTGCAATGCAGTTATGTGGCTTGGGCAGAAGCCGCGGTATCAACCAATTAATTTTTTAAAATAAGTTTACTTACTGTTTGAAGTCAGTAGATCCTCCTGCTCAGTCTCCTGCCTTCAGCTGCATGTCAGCTAGAGCCGACGCTGTGTGTTGCAGGAGATCCTTATCTCCCACACTGTTTGCTCTGGCTGCTGACAGGCTCTGGGTTACTACACGACACAGGAGGCGCGTTCACAGTGCCTCCTGTGTCCTGAAAGCACATTTGATGGCTCTGAGCTAAGGGTGAAGACGTCAAACGTAAGTCCTGCGCATCAGGCAGGACTTGACTCGGAAGTCCCTCTGGTGGCCATCTGAGTGACTGCCACTGGAGGTGTTCCTAGGTTCTAATGTAAACACTGTATTTTCTGAGAAAATACAGTGTTTACATGAACAAGCCTGTAGGGAGCTATTGTACTCACCTGAACAACCCCATTAAGCTGAAGTGGTTCAGGTAACTATAGTGTCCCTTTAAGCTGAAGTGGTTCAAGTGAATATAGTGTCCCATTAAGCTGAAGTGGTTCAGGTGACTATAGTGTCCCTTTGACCCCTTAAGGACACATGACATGTGTGACATGTCATGATTCCCTTTTATTCCAGAAGTTTGGTCCTTGAGGGGTTAAGCTTAAGTGGTTCAAGTGAATAGTGTCCCATTAAGCTGAAGTGGTTCAGGTGAATATAGTGTCCCATTAGGCTGAAGTGGTTTGGGTGACTATAGTGTCCCTTTAAGCTGAAGTGGTTCAGGTGACTATAGCATCCCTTTAAGCTGAAGTGGTTCAGGTGACTATAGCGTCCCTTTAAGCTGAAGTGGTTCAGGTGAATATAGTATCCCATTAAGCTGAAGTGGTTCAGGTGACTATAGTGTCCCATTAAGCTGAAGTGGTTCAGGTGACTATAGTGTCCCATTAATTTTGAATGCTCACTATAGTGAATATCCCTGCCAGCTTGCATTACAAAGTGGTGACCTGCTCACCTGTACCCTTTCTCAGTCTCGATGGGGTTGCCATGCAGGGTGAGACTCTTCAAGTTGGGCAGACATGCCAATTTATCCACCTCTGACAGCTGGCGGATGCTGTTACCATGAAGGTTGAGCACTGAAAGCTGGAGGTAAGTGGTTAGGACCTGGAAAGGAGACAATAAAATGTAATATTATAGTTTATAAAACACCAACGTGCAGAATAAAAAAAACAAATGTACAAGTAACTGCAGCAGAGCAGGCTTAGCATAGAGGAAGGAGTGATGAGAACCATGCTCAGACCAGCATACCTGCTTAAACATGCACAAATGGGTAATCTAATAGCAGAGAATTTATAGTTTAGCTAAATGGGTCTTTATTTAAGTCAAATCGTGTGATATGTACCAGGAATGATGTATTAGTATACACGAGACAATCCAAAATGTCCAATACATGGCCCTTCACCTCTCTCAGCGTTACATGGGAGCACACAAATAGAAAGGTAGCACTTTGTTACTCTTTAAGTGATGGATCGGCAAGATTGTTATTTAGTGCACGTTGTCCACATTCTGCAAATCTTCTCATCTGATTTGTATTGTAACTGGTGCAAGACTCAGGGGCTGATGCCTGTGCTAGCAAACCCTTCTGGGATTTTCCTGCAGGAGAGTGCAGTTACGTTTACTAAGCCGGGCTGTGCAGAGCTGCTCTTATTGAGTGTCCGCTGAATGCCCTCTTAGTTTGGCCATGCTTAGCTGAATAGCACCATCCTGCTTTACCTCCTCACAAAACATGTAGGGTAAGGTGGGACTGGTTCTGAGAGTGGGTGGAAGAATCGGTGACCAATATACAGCTCAGGGTCCCCAAGCAAGCACCCACTAAGAGGAGTGAGGACGCTTATAATCAATACTGCAAAAATGTGTACTGGCTGCATGGACCGCTACATGCCAGTTACTGGCAGTGTGACCCGCTACATGCCAATTACTGTCGGTGTGACCCGCTACATGCCAGTTACTGGCGGTGTGATCTGCTACATGCCAATTACTGGTGGTGTGACCAGCTACATGCCAATTACTGGCAGTGTGACCCGCTACATGCCAATTCCTGGCAGTGTGACCCGTTACATGCCAATTCCTGGCAGTGTGACCCGTTACATGCCAATTCCTGGCAGTGTGACCAGCTACATGCCAATTCCTGGCAGTGTGACCCGTTACATGCCAATTCCTGGCAGTGTGACCAGCTACATGCCAATTCCTGGCAGTGTGACCCGTTACATGCCAATTCCTGGCAGTGTGACCAGCTACATGCCAATTCCTGGCAGTGTGACCCGTTACATGCCAATTCCTGGCAGTGTGACCAGCTACATGCCAATTCCTGGCAGTGTGACCAGCTACATGCCAATTCCTGGCAGTGTGACCCGCTACATGCCAATTCCTGGCAGTGTGATGCACTATATGTATATGCTGATTACTGGCGGTGTGATCCTCTACATGCCAATTACTGGCGGTGTGATCTGCTACATGCCAATTACAT